ACAGCGGAGCTGCAGACACCCAACTACCTCCGCATCCGGCCCGCGGGCCTTGACTCTGACATATGTGCTGTAAGAGACAGGAAGCCAATGGAGAGAGGTCAGAACCGGGGTTATGTGATCCCACTTGCTGGTTCCAGTCAGCAATCGAGCCGCTGCATTTTGGACCAGCTGAAGTCGGTGTAGGGAGGACTGGTCCAGGCCAGAATACAGGGAGTTGCAGTAGTCCAATCGGCAAGACACGAACAGGTTGATGACATGTTCGAGGACATTAGCAGGAAGGTATGGCTTCACCTTTGCTATCTGCCTTAAATGATAAAAACCTCATTGGACCACTGCACTCACCAGTCTGTAAAGATTACAAGAACCGTCTAAAAACACACCGAGGTTTTTAACACCGAGTTTTAGAAAACCAGAACAAGGACCAAGAGGACCAACAGCGTTGTTTAAAAGATTAGAACTTTTTTTGAATCTCATTCAGTTTCAGTCTAGGTCACACCTTCCTGCATCTAATCAACACGATGACTCACCATCAATAGAGGCTAATGACTCATCAGGAGATGGAGAGGCGGGGTACTTGCAGTAGTTTCTGCTCTTTAAATAACAACAGACCGATACAGCTTATGAGTTTGACTCTCCCATATTCCAGTTAGAAATGACAAAGCTCCTCAGAGGAGAAGTGAAATGTTTTAAAGAAACCAAAGAAGTCCAGTTGCCTTCATCTGAACTCTTTGGAGTAATAGTCAATAATAAAAAATACATAATAAAGTAATAAAATGTATATAATTATGCTCACATTCACTTTTACCATCTCTTTGTGGGAGGTGGAACATTTCCCTCTTATGACCATAAATATAACTGTTTTTTTTTTGTTTTGTTTTATAGATTTAAAATTGTAATAAAAGTGTAAAATGTTTGTAACTCTGCTCCTTTTTTCAGAACAACCTCAGCTTTCAGTGTCTAGTTTGTATTTGTGTTTATGTTTATTAAAGTCTGTAAAACTGCAGCTTAAATGAAAAAAAAAAACAGATTTGAATTTTCTTTACATTTATTACTAAACAGGAACTTCAAAATGACGAGCAAACTATGTCAAAAGACCTACCGGTATTTAAACTCAGAACTGTGTTGCAAACACTCAGAAAACAGTGTGACCCCTGACCTCATGTTAACCAGTTTAATGACTGCAGCCTGTCTGTGACCACAGGTCTACGCTCTGGTCCAGAGAACGGAATACAGTAAAATAAATACTAGGTATAAAATAACACTCATGGGCTACTTCACAGCTGTAGCTACATTTCTACCAGCATTATGAAGATCAATAAGCAGATAAAAGGTTAAATCTAAACATTTCATTACAAAAAGTCAACTAATAAAATTCTGCACTGATAACATTATATTTTCAGCTAAATAAATATTTATTGTAAGTATAAATAATGCTGGAATGAAGCTGAATCATTTAGTAAACAGTTGAGTGTTCAAATAAAAACCAGTGTGACTTTAATCTGTCCCTCCTCATGTCACCATCTACAGAAACAGCCTTCTGGGACACCTGACCAACCAGGTGGATTTTATTTGTGACGTTTCCATAACTTTATAAAAGCTGCTGATGAAGATGATCAGATCATCTCCTCCTTTCGGTTCTCTGCTCTCCCGTCGCGGTTCGCTCCGTTTCTTTCTGTGACGCTGCAAAGCTAGTTTCCTTCTAATAGCGATTTTTGGAGTAACATGAATTACATCATGTAATACCTCATTGGAAAGCTCGTTTTATGTACTTTTCGAAACCGTTTGAAGTATTTTTATTCGATTAGTAATTCAGAAGTTATGACCCGGAGAATCTAGAGTGAGACACATCCGTGATTCTTTGTGAGTTTCCTCAACACTTCAGGAGAAGTCTCTCTCATGTCTCATTTTCTGTCCCAGACATGCAGCTACCTGACTCTGCTCCACACACACTAACCACGGACTCAAACGCACGTAAACAAAAGCTCTGATATTAAAATCTGTCCAGCTGACGTGAAGCAGGCAGAAAAAAAACTTACAGGTAGATGAACGCAGACTCCTGTCCGCAGGGAAAACACCGGTCTGTCGTCTCCATGGCTACAAGGTAGATCGACAGCAAGGACAACCAATCACACGTTAGTATGATGCGGCAGAGCCAATCAGTGAGCTTGTAGGCGGGTCTAAGGGAAAATAGCCTTCAGCTTGAGGCGGCTGCCTCCGCATGGTCCTAGTGCCCGATTTGTATCACAGTATAACAGTTTTGTACGTAAAATCTGACGAACGACCGGAAAAAGGGCACTTTGGGCACTTCGGACAAAAGGGCCAGGGTCTCAAGCACCCTCCGCACCCCCCTCTGCACGTGCCTGCAGTCAAATCGGGACCCCCCAGTGGGGCCGAAATTCACCAGAAACTGACCACCTCAGTCCACATGGTATCATCCTAAGCTAAAATCAAGACCACACACACATGTGAGGTCAGCATACAAACAGGACGAAGAAGACTGGGCCCCTTCCAGTTACAGAGTTACAAAATACTGAGATGGACAGAAAATGCCCTGAGACATTCTTTTATGTGTTAAAAAGGACCATGATATACAGGAAAAAACCTAGCATTGCGTTCCCCCTGAACGTAACTGTTTGAACAACAAAAGATAAAATAATAACAATAAACACAATGTCATATCAAAAGACCTGAGTAAGATGCCAGTAACTCAAAAGTCAATTAGTGAGTTAGAATTGTGACTCAGTTTATCAATAAACCACATCAAAGCATATTCATTAACTCATGTTCCGTGATATATTAAACTAACCTACACCACTAATTAAAATAACTAGGGCCGGGACTTTAACGCGTTAATCACGATTAATTAATTAGAAAAAAATAACGCGTAAAAAAATTAACGCATTTAATTGCAGCTTGCATTTCAAGCACGGCAGAACCTTTGTCATTGCACAATTTCCTCGTAGACTGAATATCACTGACGCACACAACAATGCACAGTGCTAATGGCTACTAAAACTGAATAAAAACAGAAAGAAGTTGCCTTGCTTGGACTGATGCAGGGTTTAGGAAACACGTCCGCCTCTTTTCTTAACTTGGAAAAAAAAAACTTCCAGACAACGGAGTCCGTGTCGCGGACATTTTTCAGAGATCGTCTCTGCTGCGGCTGCCCGGTGGCAACGGGAACTTTACAAAAGTTGCGGTAAGCTATATTTTTAACATTTATGTAACATCTGTGCAGCGCTGAAAGCACCAGACAGAATAATTCTGTGCCCTAACAGTAGTTTATGAAAGTAGTCAGACAAACGAGAGGCACCTGGCTGCCGCTGGGAGAACGCTCCGTGTCCTCACTACTCTGTAAACAATCACAAACAACGTGTCTTAAAGTTGAAAACAGAAGTTTAAGTTAAAACAGAAACACTCTGAAACTTTTCTGATGATTTTCTAAACAATTCTGTCGGGGAATTATATGTTTTTGAGACGAGTCTCTGTCTAAACATCATCGCATGCATTACTATCATTAAGCAGCGAGGTGTGCTGAAGCTGTCATCAGCTAAGGGGCGGATGCTTAAGTGCATCAGGGGCAGCGAGGAACGAGGAAGTTGTGATCAGGCTGGAGATCACACCAGATTTGCTGCTGCAGGCGTGAATCTGCGGGTCTGCAGCATCCCCTTCTTAACATGACATCAGGACTTCCCATGTAAGGAAGGTCCGCTCACCTGTTCGTCAGATCATTATTTCCTCGCCATGATCTTTTATCTTCCCATCATCCTCCAGTCATCCATCTGGAACCAGTTAGTGTTCCTGATCATTCTCAGAATATGCCATGCCTGCTCTGGTGTTAAAAGTTAGTACATTTAAGTCCTAGATCATATTTGTGCCTGTTCTACTGTCATTTTGAAGGACCATATTGGCACCGCAGATGCGTGAACAGAGGGGAGTTCCAACAGCATCCCTTGGCTCCTGTCCAGTGGCTGAGGTCCGAAGGGCCCAGGTGAGCATGTTTTTGTTCATTTTTGTGGCCTCTGTCACTGGGCAGGGGTCGGGCGGGGCTGTCCTCCTGTTCTGATAATACTATAAATATCAGTTGGAGAGGGGATTCATGTCTGATAGTGGTGAAAAATATTCACACGTGTGAAGTCAGCTGTGTCATTTTGATGACGGACAAATTTTAAGTGTCAAATTAAAAGGCGGGACAGCAAATTGGAATAGAATTTTAACAGCTGATGGTTCTGAGAGGTCGACACTCTTTAATCCAGTCTGCTGACTCGGTTTGAGCAGAGACGGGGATCTTGAAGAAAAAGCGCTGAAGTTGTGAGAGATAAGCTTTGCTGTAGTTCGGCTATCCCCGGGGAGTGGTAAATTTAAGAGTTTTTTGGCAAAGCATGTAAAAAAACAGGGTCCGTGAGCTCGGGACGACCTGTACGTTGTAGTTTGCGGCAAAAATGCTGTAAAAACAGTTTCCGGGAGCTCGGGATTCTGTAGTTCTGTAGTTCTGTGTGTATGAGGCGCATCAAGAGGCTGCGTATGGCTCTGGATTGAAAGTGTGTGAATGTTTGTGCACTGAGTGCAGAATGCAAGACGTGTGAGTGTGAAGGCTTGATGCGGTACCAGAAAATAAATAAATAAGATAAATAAGAGCTTTAAAAGTTGCAACTCGCATATGTAAAGTTCACTGCAGTGCTAAATTTTAATGTTTGAAGTTACGCAAAATTCAAATTCTGCAATCCTGTTCTGATCAGTCTGAACAGAATACCAAAAGTTAATAAATAAAAGGTTTTTAAAGTAACATATATATATATATATATATATATATATATATATATATATATATATATATATATATATATATATATATATATATATGTAGTATACAAGCGTGATAATCATTTTTTGGGGGGTGAAGTAGCCTGGAGATTAAAAGGGTAAAAAAACAAGAAATACAAGGAAAGTTGTAAATGACAGCTTTATTTGAGAAATATATAGAAATATATAGATATAATATATATATATATACATTTATTGAAAGTCAGACAGCTGCTAAACAGTAAGATCGAAACAGATCTGTAGAAAATAAATATATAAACTGTTTCTGAGCGCTCTCAAAAAATTGCAATTTGGCTTGCTCTAGTGGTTGCATAGGACCTGCTTAAAAGCATAGTAAGCATTAAATTCTGAAAATTACCAGTGCAGTGTTACACAAATTCTGTGCTTAAAAAACAAATACACGAATAAAAGCTGTTAATGGAGCTCCTGCCAATTTGGTGTAAAGTAGGAAAAGTAAGTGCCAATTTGGGTCAGTTAAATTTAAATTAGGAGAAAACAGAATAATAATGGTCCAGTTGGAAATAAGATACTAAGAAAAGATAAGGTAAACAGACATTTATATATATATATATATATATAAAGAGAATAAATAAGTGACGGACTGACTTATTTTTGTTTAAAAGACTGTGACAAACAGAAAAAATGTTGTTTGTGCCGTTGTGTGTGAGTGGATGTGAGTGGTTTTTTTTGCATGTGAAGTAAATGCTGCTTTGGCTGGATCTTCTGTTGAATGACGCAGTGTTTAATAGAGACAGCTGATGGAAACACATGGTGTGGTCCAGGCTTTGCCCGACTGAAAAACAATAGAAAAATAATTTATAGTTAGTGCGATGACAAGAAAATCGTTTAAAATATAAAAGTTGCATGGTTGTGGTCATACAAAGGAGGTATTTTATCTGCTTTTGAGCCGTGAGGGCTGAAACTGGACTTTGGACTCTCTCTATCATTTATCTATGTTTGCTTTTCTGTAAATGGAGTCTGTCACTCTATCTCTCTTTTTCTCCTGCCTGCGCACACACACATGGTGAAACCAAGGCTTGCGTGCTTTCTGTGCTGTGTAACATGCAGTTTTAAGCAATTTGTGACTTTAGAAAAGATATTTTCTGGTGTTTTGGGCGTACCGTAGGTTCGTGGTTGGTCTCCATGAGATCCTTCCTCTTGGACAGTCAGAGATGAAAATGACTGGAGTGTAGGCCTGGGGACCTGACTCCACCCACTTTTACACACAAGAATCCTGTAGTCTAAAAATAGCACAGGGTGCTGCAGAACAGCAGCTCTGAACTTCTCAGGATCGTCTTTATGAAAACCATAAAATTAACAAATAATCAGTCAGGAAATAAAATATTTGTGCCAGATTGTTTAGTTACACCCACTTATAATTATTTTGCATAGGTTTTGTAAAACTATTGCTGTAAATCTTGCTATAGAAATAAAATCCAATAATTGTCTTGCTTGAACTTTAAGAATCATTAACATTAGTGGCTGGATTTTGAGACGCTGAATAATGAGAAAGAGATAAACTATTATTTCCTGTAACCTGGCTAGAACCTGTACCAGGCTGTTCTATGTTTGCTCTATAGCCTATCCTAGCTTTCTATCATAGCTTATATGATTAACAAAATTTAAATGAAATAGGGGTAAAGTAAATAACTCAGTGCACAACAATTTCTCGGTATTCATCAGGTTTCTTAGTTGACTGAATTACTTCTTATTTCTACAGGTCTTAGGGTACTCAGCGGCAGCGGACAGGAGAAAAACAGTGTTGTTTCAGCTCCTTTGAGTTTCCCAACAGATCTAACCAAACCTGATCCTATATTTTTCTATCAGCTGTAAGTTCTAACGTAGAAAATAATGTTACAAAAGATTGAATAATTGTACCTCTCATTCGATAAAAATTATGTTCACATTTTTTCATCTTGTGAAATCTTTAACATAACATTTTTAATTGGCTTTTTGCGGGAGTGACGTTGCGAGAACATTTGGATTTAGCTACAGCCGAAATTGGCTAAATTGAAATTTTGGTTTGACTTAAATTAGATGTCACTGAAGGTAAACAAAGCTATATTCGTGCTGCATGGGAATTGGAGGAAAATAGATGTGGATGTGTCGGTGAGAGGAAAACAAAAATAAAAAATAAATATAAAAAACAAACAGTAAAAAGAGTGTAGGGAAAAATTATTAAAAGAAATTAAACTGGGAGAAATAATCCTTTTTTTAGGGACTAATGCATGGCCATGAGCTCTGCTGGAAACCCCACATGAAATATGTAAAGACATAGATAAAGTAAAATTGTAGGAGGGATGAGAAAGGCGTGAAGCATTTAGATTCTGAAAGCATTATATACACTATAATGTTCACCATTTAATGTAGTAAATGTGTTTTTACTACATTATGAGTAGAAATGCTGATAAAAACTCCCAATTATACAAACAAGTGAAACTGGAAAAATTAGAATCTGGTGCAAAGTCAAATTTATTTCAGTCATTCAACTAGACAGAAAGACTATTTAAAGGCTCAGGAACCCTTTGCAGGCGTTTTCTATTTGTAATTATAAATTTTAGTTGAATTGGGTTTTGTTTCATATCACACAGGGACATTTGAATAATTAAAATGCATATTTTTATTAAAATCTTTAGTTTACAGTAATAACCATGTCTAATGTTTGATTCTCTGTCTCATAATTTTAAATAAAATTTTACTTTGAGAGCACATTTTCCTGAACGATTAAAATGCGATTAATTGAGATTAATTAATTACAAAGCCTGTAATTAATTAGATTAAAATTTTTAATCAAGTCCCAGCCCAAAAAATAACCCCATCAATGGTTGACAAGACTCATTTGATAAGAAATTTCTAAAGTTATGAAAAGGTCCGAACACCTTTTTAAAGCAGCAATTCAAATCATTATGTCCATAAATCCCACCTGGGTAAGAAGTCTGCTTATGGCAGGTAAACCAAGAAAAACAAAATCACTAGTAAGGATGTCCTTTATTGTTTAAAGATGAGGTGACTTAGGGTCAAAACAAAACATGTAAACAACAGTCACAGAAAAGAAAAGGTTAACATTTATCGACCCAGGACTGAATAAACTCAAACAACATGGACTAGTCATAATATAAAACCATTAGATAAGAAAAAACTGTCTCAGCAACAGAAGAGAACAGAGTTTTAACCATGAACCCTGAATAGGGTAGGAAATCTATTTTCTAACAGGCTGGATCCACTGCGTTTGCTTCAGGGTGAACAAAGGCCAAAATAACAAACAAAAATCTAGCTCTCACAACCCCTAAAACATCATATAATAAAAACCTGAATGCATGTATCTAACCCTAGCTGCCTGACCTATTCAAATCAAGCAAAAGGGTAAAAAAAATGGCAGTTCACCCTTACTGTAGCAGTACTAAACAAAACCTCACTAATGGTTGTACTGCGTTGTGTAGAATTCCAGCACCAAGACCAAAAAAAATTATAAAATAGAATGTGGTGAGAACAACTCACCGTAAAATTTAAAAATAAGCCTCACAAAATCAGCTCATTACTCCAAAGAAATTGACAAAGATTAAAATTAAACCACTTCTTTCAAAATTAACCAAATTAGTCAAAACGGTAAAAGAAAACAGGTAAAAGAGTTCGTAATATTTGGCTTGGGTGTTTAGACTGCCAATGTAAACATTTGGTTTACATTCCAGAAAGGGACTGATATTGTTAAACTAAGACCATCGGAACCAAAACGTTTGACAAGTTAAATTAAATGATTCATTCCCCCTGATAACACATGACCTGGGCCATGTGCCACCAGAGCGGCAGCTTTAAAAAGAACAGGTTTACCAAATGAATCACATCCATCATCCATCTGAGACCCACTTCTCTGACTGTTCTCCAGGTTTGAACAGGTGCATCCTTTCAGCCGGCAGAGCGGAAGGAGCAGCTGCAGCTGAACCTGCCACTTCACCAGCTCCCCGATACGACGGGGGAGTTGGCCCAAGGGATAAATCATCGCATAGTTTTCTGAAGACGGATACATCCTTCCCTGCTTTGCCTTCGTTATCTTTTTGTTTCCCCTTCTCTCTGTCTTTTCTGTTCTGACTGCCCACCCGTCTTATCTGCCTCATCTCGCTGTTTCTCCCTTCCTCTGTCTTTTGATTTAGTATTCCCCATCGTATCTAAGATGTTTTGTTTACTGGTTTAGTAAAACACGCTGGAAGAACTCCAATTAGTTCTAGTATGAAAATTATTAGAAAGACAATCAGACTGCTTATGAGGGCGTATAGTAAAATAATTCTTTCAGATAACATTTGGCAGCCACCGAAACGAATTAACGCTTCCCTCGTTCTTTCTCACACACACACAGCAAGACCACTCTCAAAGGAACACACACACACACACACACACACACACACACACACACGGCGAACTGGCAGCCGAACCTCCCTCAGCGAACCGGCAGCCAAACCTGTCACACGTAACACTCTCAAAGTCCCCGATACATGCACACCCCCACACACACACATTAAAGATAAACAAATCCACCCCCTCACAGAAAGGAAACTTTCCCTGGTTCTTGGTATAACAGAGAAAAGCTCCGTCTGGACTTCACTAGGGAGCTTTCGTGATAACAAAACTGCAGACTTACAAGGTCGAACCTCCCTGCCAGAGGCACAGAATAATAACAAAATATGAACATGGAATAAACCTTCGTTTCAATTAAAAAACACCAGATGGTACCAGGACAAAATCATTTTCCATGCATCTAATACTGTTTTTATCCAACAGTCAGTATCAGACTATCAGTCTTGTCACTGATATGTAACTTAATATTACAAAAACCTATAAAAATTGATTATAACTAATAAAAACTAAACTGAAACTAAAAAGTAGATGAAACTAAAACTAAACAGAACAAAAACAAACCTTGAAAATAAAGACTAATGAAAAATGCTAAACAATTCAAATATTGTCCAACCACAGTTTATGTATATTAAAATGTAAAATTCCCAGCTAAATTAGAATAAACGACTAAAACTATCAATGAAAAAAGATTAATTTGTTAATAAACTACATAGAATTTTATTCAAAGAAAGAAAAAAATCTCGGTGTGCCTTTAACAGAGCTTTGGAATTAGCTTATGTGTTCAATGAGTTGGTGACATTTTTTCAGTGTGGTGGTCTCTGGTAGGATTGAATACCTCGTAAATGGTTCTCAGGGGGAACAATTATACTGTTGCACCATTTCTCAGACCTAAAATTTTCTCACATCACAGCTGAGCTTTAGACCCTGTCCACACGTAGCCGGGGATCTGCCAAAACGTAGATATTTTTCTACGTTTTGGCCTGTCATCCACACGAAAACGGAGTTTTTTCACATGAAAACGGATCTTTTTAAAAACTTCGGCCAAAGTGAAGATCTGCGTTTTCTCCGTTTTGGGTGTCTGCGTGTGGACAGACAAAATCGGAGTTTTAAGGTCTGCAACGTCACTTTCCGCAACAAAAAATGCTGACATCACGTGTGCGACCTGTGTTTACACTAGCCGACAGCATGGATGCCCTCAGAGCTGCGCTCACTTTATCAATTGTCCAAGCGCCTTTTGCTTGTTTGTTTTTGTAAGCGGAATTACTGCTCCTTGCGGAAGACCACAGACGAAGGACGAGGTTAAGAACGGGGGAAGTACTGCCGCCTACAGGTCTGGCATGTCCTGAACAACGTGTTTATCCGGGTACGTGTGGACAGTTTTTTTTTTAAACGAGGTGGTGTGGATACAAGTTTTTGGAGGGGCGGATATTCGTTTTTAAAAAAACCTGGCTACGTGTGGACTAGGCCTTAGACAGCGGGTTTTGGAGTCTTATTTCGTGATATGTGGACATCTCGCCCCAGATTAGATAACAGCAATGCAACTCTACCACTGACTTGCAACATGGATATTTTATCTCTCAAAATACACGAGCCTGGAGGACCTTCTGCTGTGAGGTGTAGTTGCTAATGCTGACAGTTAGCTTAAACTAGCCGAGACGTCCACTGCTGATTACTGGACGTTAAAACAACAAGTCTTCCCTGTCGTGAATCAAGATCGTCAAGTCCATAAATACCAATTCACAGTGTGACATAGATCTGTGAGGATTTTCAAATACATGAGTTTCATCTATTTTCTATCAGAAGCTAATGCAGAAGAAAGGTGTAGGAGACTATTTTCATGTTCAGCCTGCATGCAAAACTCAGAGTGGTCAAGTACTATTACAAAAAGGTAAAGAAAATATCTGGCTAAATTTCATACAGACCAAACTTGGAAAATACTTTTCACTTGTTTTGAGTTCTCATGTGATAACTCAAGTTACTACTGACAGTAAAACATTTACCACAAGTGTTAACTGGATATGGCTTCTCACCTAGCGATGGGTACCGAATTCGGTGCTTTTTAAGGTACCGACCGAATTCCATAGTACCGACTGAATACCGATTCACTAGCCTGGCAAGCCAGACTAAATAAATGTATTATTTAGTCTGGCCACGCTCCATTGACGGCTTTCGGTTGTGGGGCGGGTTCTACCGTTGTCTTTCAAATGATCTCCGCATTCCACTGGACAATGAATGTGACATACTCTTGTTTCACTCTGTTGCATCATCCCACCCACCAGGCATATAGAGTGCCCTGATTGGCCCACAAAGCGGATAAAGCTCTGTGATTTGTTCACTAAGCAGATAGAGCACTATGATTGGCCCACCATTATGGACCAATCACAGCTCTTTATGTGGGCGACGGTGGCACAGGAGTTAAGTGCTTGCCCCGTAATCGGAAGGTTGCAGGTTCGAGCCCCGCTCAGTCTGTCGCTGTCGTCGTGTCCTTGGGCAAGACACTTAACCCACGTTGCCTGCTGGTGGTGGTCGGAGGGACCGGTGGCGCCAGTGCTCGGCAGCCTCGCCTCTGTCAGTGCGCCCCAGGGCAGCTGTGGCTACATTGTAGCTCATCCCCACCAGTGTGTGAATGTGTGTGTGAATGGGTGAATGACTGATTGTGTTGTAAAGCGCCTTGGGGGGTTTCAAGAACTCTAGAAGGCGCTATATGAAATACAGGCCATTTACCATGTGTTTGAAACCCCTCTAGAGAGCTGTGATTGGCTAGCTAGAGTCCTGGTAGGAGCTGCTGAGGTTCCAATGGAGCATGCCTAAACCATTCTTTGCAAAGCAAGAATTTGATCTAGTTCACTAGGCTACCGATTCACATCATTTGAAACTGTGCCTCGTTTCGGTACCCGTCCTTCATAACGAGAACTTGCCTAGACAGCTGCGCATGCGCAAGAGCGTTATGTCGTCGCTCGCTGCGAGCCAGTTGTAAACAGAACAGCATGGTAGAAAAGAACGCACGCTAAAGCTTGGGTCCATTTCACTAAATGTGATGGGTAACTGGGTGATGATGAAACCAGCGACAACGATCTAAGTGAGACATCCTCATCTTAATCTGCTCCTGTAGGTAAATAAAATGTTTAAGATAACGTTAACTTGATATGTTAGCTTCCATTCAACTAATGGTGGGTTTGCTTTCTCCTCAGAACTCCAATTTTCCGACTAAAAGGACATGAACACGCTCTAAAGTTTGGCTTCACTTTACTAAATGTGACGGGTTATTGGGTGGAGATGAAACCAGCAACAATGATCCAAGTGTGAGGCATCATTGTTTAAATCTGCTCCAGCAGCTAAATAAACTGTTAATGTTAGCTTGATATGTTAGCTTCCATTGCCACCATTGTTATCAGCTAATGGTGCGTTCGCTTTCTCCTGGAAATTCTAACTTCCCAGTAGGAAAAATCAAATGAAAAAGGACGGCAAAAGGAATGAAGATACACAGTAAATTTAGTTCACAGTAAAGATGTTTGCTTCAGTTTAATTATCAGCTTATAAAACTACAAGGTCGATGTTAAACTACAAACAGTTGAATGTTATTTATCGTGATATTTATCAAATATGGTTATATATTGAGAAAATATATATATTTAATTATAAAAGAATTAAAATATTAAACACTCAAAAGTATCTAAAATTGGTACCGTTAAGTACCGGTATCGATTCCTAGGTACCGGGAATTAGTACCGAATCGATTCAAATGTCAACGGTACCCATCCCTATTCTGACCTGTGTGAGTTCTCATGTGATAAATCAAGCCACTACTGGCAGTAAAACATTTACCACAAGTTTTACATGGATATGGCTTCTCACCTGTGTGAGTTCTCATGTGTTTAGTCAAGATATTACTGGCAGTAAAACATTTACCACAAGTTTTACATTGATATGGCTTCTCACCTGTGTGAGTTCTCATGTGTTTAGTCAAGTCACTACGGACAGTAAAACATTTACCACAGGTGTTACATGGATATGGCTTCTCACCTGTGTGAGTTCTCATGTGTTTAGTCAAGTCACCACTGGTAGTAAAACATTTACCACAAGTGTTACATGGATATGGCTTCTCACCTGTGTGAGTTCTAATGTGTGTAGTCAAGTCACTACTGGCAGTAAAACTTTTACCACAAGTGTTACATGGATATGGCTTCTCACCTGTGTGAACTCTCATGTGTTTAGTCAAGGTACTACTGGCAGTAAAACATTTACCACAAGTGTTACATGGATATGGCTTCTCACCTGTGTGAGTTCTCATGTGTTTAGTCAAGACACTACTGTTAGTAAAACATTTACCACAAGTGTTACATGGATATGGCTTCTCACCTGTGTGAGTTCTCATGTGATAAGTCAAGTTACTACTGACAGTAAAACATTTACCACAAGTTTTACATGGAAATGGCTTCTCACCTGTGTGAGTTCTCATGTGTGTAGTCAAGTCACTACTGGCAGTAAAACATTTACCACAAGTGTTACATGGATATGGCTTCTCACCTGTGTGAGTTCTCATGTGTTTAGTCAAGGTACTACTGGCACGAAAACATTTACCACAAGTGTTACATGGATATGGCTTCTCACCTGTGTGAGTTCTCATGTGTTTAGTCAAGACACTACTGTTAGTAAAACATTTACCACAAGTTTTACATGGGAATGGCTTCTCACCTGTGTGAGTTCTCATGTGTTTAGTCAAGATATTACTGGCAGTAAAACATTTACCACAAGTTTTACATGGATATGGCTTCTCACCTGTGTGAGTTCTCATGTGATAAGTCAAGTTACTACTGACAGTGAAACACTTACCACAAGTTTTACATGGATATGGCTTCTCACCTGTGTGAGTTCTCATGTGTTTAGTCAAGACACTACTGGCAGTAAAACATTTACCACAAGTTTTACATGGATATGGCTTCTCACCTGTGTGAGTTCTCATGTGTTTAGTCAAGACACTACTGTTAGTAAAACATTTACCACAGGTTTTACATGGATATGGCTTCTCACCTGTGTGAGTTCTCATGTGTTTAGTCAAGACACTACTGGCAGTAAAACATTTACCACAAGTTTTACATGGATATGGCTTCTCACCTGTGTGAGTTCTCACGTGTGTAGTCAAGTCACTACTGGCAGTAAAACATTTACCACAAGCGTTACATGGATATGGCTTCTCACCTGTGTGAATTCTCATGTGACGACATAAACAAGACTTGTGACTGAAATATTTTCCACAGAGCTTACAATAAAATGGCCTCTCACCTATGTGAGCCCTCTTGTGCTTTTTCAGTGTCTGAACATCTACATTGTCTCTGTGATCTTCGCTTCGCAGACGTCTTTTATTACGTGTCAGTTCTTCATTGCTGTTTGATTCTGAGTTTTCTTTCTTGCATCCACCCTGATCTTGGTTCTCTGCTTCTGTAGAATTCTGACTCAAGGGTTGCTTCCTGTTGGGTTCTGGATCATGGCAGTCTGTTTCGTTAGAAGGATAAGTCCCTACGAAGGTTACATGTTTTTGCTTAAAAAGGAACTGCCCTTCATGCTGATGGATATAGAGTTCTGGCTGGTCCTCTGTGATCAGTAGATCTTCTGGTTCCTCCTGGTCCAAACTGGAGGTTGACACTTGGTCAGAGAGCTGCTGGTCAGTCAGAACCTCTTCTTTTTCCCAGATATGATGCTGTGGAAGTTCTGGACAGGTAAAAAGAAAAAGAAAAATGTTGAGTAATGTGGCAATTAAAAATGTTCCAATGAAGGCAGGAAGTTCAAGGCTCTAGAATGGGATGATTCTGGTCACAAATGTGACTCCATTTCTCAATGGTGCACCTAAATATCTACACTCAGGTTGCACCAGATGAAGAGTTAGAGAGATGCTGGTCTGTGAGAACCTTCTACTGTGGAAGCTCTGGACAGGTTAAAGTAAAACTGGAAAATGTTGAGTGACGTAACAATTACAAAAAGAATATATATATATACCACCTCCTTGAACCGCCACCTTATCGTGGTGGAGGAGTTTGAGTGCCCTAATGATCCTAGGAGCTATGTTGTCTGGGGCAATTTGTGCCCCTGGTAGGGTCTCCCATGTCAAATTGGGTCTTAGGTGAAGAGTGAGACAAAGAATGGTTCAGAGGAATTTTCATGGATGTAAATTCAAATAGTCGGAGGACCCGACCCGGAGGGTTACTGGTAGGGCTGCACGACATTAGGAAAACCTGCGAAATTCGATAACAGTACTTAATATTGCGATATCGATATTACTCACGATAAATGAACAAATACTAAAGTATGCAGTGTTGATGTCATCTGGCATGTGACGTCTGCTCTGGGTTCAAAGCAAACAAAAATGAATGCATGAATTCCATTACAACAGAACATTTTTACTGAAAAAATATGCAGCTGCACCTGCTACTGTATTAGCAGCAAAACAACAAAATGCATGCATGCAGTTTCTCAGTGACTTTAAAACATCACCTCCACCATAAAACTTTTTCTGATGCTCCAAATATAGAAAAACATCCCTTACCAGGGTTTTTTGAATAAATAAAAAAAAAAACTGAAAATAAGTTTAAATGTTAAATAATAGTTAACATCACTTAAATGCAACAGCAAATTCTCTCATTGCTACAGAACATTTTCTCCACTTATGTGGTTATGATATAAGGCTGTTGCTGTAATTGGGAAGTGAACTGTACTGGGCCAAACTAGGAGAAAATTAAGATTTTTTGAGGGAAAAACAATTGTCTACCTTTCAGAAGAGGAACTGGCTAAAAAACTACATGGAAAATATGTGAAAACATTTGGTTTTAACCCCAAATTGAACAAGTTTACCTAGATCTTAAAAAGCAGCTCAGATGATGAAACTGGAACTATGATTCTGGTAACAAGCTAACAAATTGAACTAGCTCCTCTTAAGATAACCGGCTAGCAGAGCTTCTGACTGACAGTTTATGTGCAGCAGCAAATCAACTATCCTGATTAACAAGGTTATAAAACCTCATAAATGAAAAATCACTTTGATAAGTGGGGGAACTTTTCCAGGCCCTCATTAGCAGGGTGGGACTGGGAGGAGAGTGCTGTAGCCTTTTAGCTGGAAGCTAACCGGAGCCTGGGGCTAACACTAGCGACATGAAGGTGGGTTGGTTCACCGGCACATGTCGGAGTCAGCCCGGTAAAAATTATTAACGACACCGAGCGGAGTCACGTTCACGTTTGAAAGCAGCGCTGAATCCAGAAACATCAGCACAAAGTGCGTTTGTTGCTCTGAGCCAGCAAAACAAGGGAACAAGGGAACAGCGCCGCAAACTCTGTTCGGATGTCGCTTTCCAAAAGGGTCTATGTAGGCGGCGGGCGTATTACGAGAACGGACCCATCTGATTGGCCGCATATCAGAAGGACTACATTTCATTGATCAAATAATATTTCCGCGTAAAAAACTGAGCTGGTTTACAAAAAGTTGATGTATGACATGGATGGAAATGTTTGAACCAAACATTTATCGCTGTTTTTGCCGTGCTTTGCGATGGGCCTATCACACGTCCTGTTATCGCGATGACGATAAATTTTCGATATATTGTGCATCCCTAGTTACCGGGGTCCCCACCCAGGAGCCAGGCCTGGGCTTGGGGTCCGTGAGCGAGCACCTGATGGCCGGGCTTTCGCCCATGGGGCCGGGCCGGGCCCAGACCGAACCGGATACATGGGCTCATCCAACTGTGGACCCACCACCCGCAGGAGGAACATGAAGGGTCAGGTACAGTGTGGATAGGGTGGCAGACCGAGGCGGGAGCCTTGGCGGTCCAATCCCCGGACAAGGAAACTGGTTTTTGGGACATGGGACATCACCTCGCTGGCGGGGAAGGAGCAGGAGCTTGTGACAGAGGTTGAGCGGTAATGGCTGGATATAGTCGGACTCACCTCGACACATAGCATTGGCTCTGGAATCCAAGTCCTTGAGAGGGGGTGGACACTCTCCTTTGCTGGAGTTGCTCTGGGTGAGAGGCGGAGGGCTGGGATTGGCTTTTTGTTAGCCCCAGTGTTACGTTCCCCGGTAGTTTGTGTGAAGTTTATGGTTGTGTTTTACTTTTCATGTCACACAACATGGATCCTCTGAGCCTCTGGGGACAAGGACTCTTTGACTCTGCCAAGGGCTGCGGAGTTCAGGACCAGCAGCCTTGTGTGAACTTTGCCCCAAATGACATCAACGGACAGCTCCGGAGCAGAAGCTGCAGCTGAAGCGGATTGGGACTGATGGCGGTTGCCACATGAGGAGGATAAAACGTCGTTGGAACCATTACACGAGGAGCAACTCCTACCCATGGGTTGACTCCACTCCACGCTCCCTTTTCTCTGTTAAATGGTTTAGTCTGCTAACATCTTGAGAAAGTGCTATCTTAAATGAGAGTAAATCTCTGCACTTTTCTGGTCCAAACTGTGGAGAGGATTTGTTTTAAACTTGGTGGTATTTTGGTTATTAGCTTTAGAATCTTAGTTGTTTTGTTGGTACCAGTTAAAGATAATTAGTGGGTAAAGAAATGCCAAATATTTTGTTTGTAATAATTCCTGGTCCCAGCTGGGCTTTTGTTTTTGTTTGTAAATCCTTGTAATTATAATTGAACACAAAGAAAGATAAATTATTATTTTACAACCCGTTTCATTCCCTAATGTTTCCCAATGCTTACCCAGTTGAATGGGCTGGGTTTTCTTAACTAGAGTCGAGAACGTAATACCCAGGACCCTCTGCCTGTGTGTTGGGGTTTACCCCGGGGGAAGAGAGGGTAGCTTCCCAGCGCCTTTGGGTCGGAGAACGGGTCCTGACTGTTGTTTGTGCTTATGGGCCAAATATCAGATCAGAGTACCCACCCTTTTTGGAGTCCCTGGGACGAGTACTAGATAGTACTCCATCAGGGGACTCCATTGTCCTGCTGGGGGACCATTTCAACGCTCAGCTTGACCTGGAGGGGTGTGATTGGGAGGGACGGCCCATCTGATCTGAACTCGAGCGGTCGATTGTTATTGGACTTCTGCGCAAGCCGCAGTTTGGCCATAACGAACACCATGTTCGAACATAAGGATGCCCATCGGTACACTTGGTACCAGGGCAGCCTAGGTCGCAGGTCGATGATAAACATTGTAGTCGTATTCTCTGACCTGCGGCCATATATTTTTGACGCCTGAGTGAAGAGAGGAGCGGAGCTGTCAACTGATAACCACCTGGTGGTGAGTTGGATCAGATGGCAGGGGAAGATGCAGCGTAGACCTGGCAGACCCAAATGCATAGTGAGGGTCTGCTGGGAAAGCCTGGCAGAAGACAGGGTTCCCACTCTTTTCTTGAAATTATTTTCCAGGACTTTTCCAGGACATCCAGGACATTTCAAGACTTTTTCAGTGTACAAGTCAACTTATCATAACTACGGTTTGCCGATATCCCGATGTATTTAGAAACAGATATGATATTGTACCTACCTACACCGTTATTTTGACAATATAGTTGTGGAAAGATTTTTGTCTTTCACAATCCCACCTACTTTCTTCTACTTACAATGCAACACAACTAAAACAGAAGTTATTCTCTACTTTAGTTCATACCATAGGTGTGACATTGTGGCATCATCAAGTCATCTCCATGTCATGTTTTTGTTCTGCTCAGCAACTGAACCAGGTTAATTCACTGTGCTGACTGAAATCATTGTCGTCTTCCTCCGCTTATCCAGGTCTGGGTCGCAGAGGCAGCATCCCAACTAGGGAGCTCCAGACCATCCTCTCCCCGGCCACCTCCACCAGGACCCCAAGGCGTTCCCGGACCAGATTGGAGATGCAAAATCTCCAACGTGTCCTGGGTCGACCCGGGGGCCTCATGCCGGCAGGTCATGCCCGACACACCTCCCCAGGGAGGCGTCCAGGAGTCATCCTGACCAGATGCCCAAACCAACTCAACTGACTCCTTTCGATCCGGAGGAGCAGCGGTTCTACTCAGAGTCCCTCCCAAATGTCCAAGCTCCTCACCCTATCTCTAAGGCTGAGCCCGGCAACCCTATGGAGGAAACTCATTTCGGCCACTTGTATCCGCGATCTCGTTCTTTCATTCATTACCCAAAGCTCATGACCACAGGTGAGGATTGGGACATAGATCGACCTGTAAATTGAGAGCCTGGCTTTCTGGCTCAGCTCCCTCTTCAGCATGACAGATCGGCTCAACATCCGCAGCACTGCAGTCGCCGAACCAATCCGCCTGTCAATCTCCCGATCACTCCTACCCTCACTTGTGAACAAGACCCTGAGATACTTAAACTCCTCCACTTGAGGTAGGACCTCTCTCCCGACCCGGAGTTGGCAAGCCACCCTTTTCCGGTCGAGAACCATGGTCTCAGATTTGGAGGTGCTGATCCTCATCCCAGCCGCTTCACACTCGGCCGCGAACCTACCCAGCAAGAGCTGAAGGTCAGAGCTGGATGAAGCTAGGAGGACCACATCATCCGCAAAAAGCAAAGACAAGATTCTCCTGCCATCAAACTCGACACACTCCACACCACGGCTGCGCCTAGAAATTCTGTCCATAAAGGTAATGAACAGAACCGGTGACAAAGGGCAGCCCTGGCGGAGTCCAACCCTCACCGGGAACAGGTCCGACTTACTAACAGCTATGCGGACCTAACTCACGCTGCTCTGGTAAAGGGACTGAATGGTCCTTAACA